TTAACCTCCGTTTACGATTCCCATCGTTTCGACAACTAGCAGCAGTAAGGGCTTATCGCGCGGGTAATACCCGACTCGGACGCGTTCGGAATAACGCGGGTAAAACCYGTGAATATACGACATCGATCGCGAGTCCCCCTTACTACTGCTGTGTGAGAAAAGACAAGTGCAAGTCTGTATCAATTTGTATCTATTTACGCTCCTTACATATCCCTTCATACCACAGATAAACTTATTGTATTGCGTCAAAGTACACAAATCCCTTCCGTTCTACGATGGCATTTGGTGTCATTTTGGCAGATCCTGAATTCAGTTCGCATATTTTTGGACTTATCTCTTTTCCATACTCAAAGTTGAATGACATGCACTGTGAAGTTCGCTGACAACGAAGAGCACACTCGATAGAAGATCTTGCTTTGGTTGTCATGAGAACGCTGCCCTTCAAAGAACGGTCTACGTAGGTAATTTCGCTCCTGAATAAATCCGCATTTGGTCCTGTAAGTGTTAAAAATATAGTATATATAAATCATAAGTTAAATGTATTTATCTGTGAGAATTTAATTTAATTCCCAGCTTGTTTTATGATAGGCATGTCGGGGAAGTGAAGAAAATAATAATTAAAAATTCAAGTTAAAAATCAAAATCCGTATCAAGAGAAAAGCCCAAAGACCGTTCAACATCGAGCTATTCATTTGTTTGCCATTAATGGTAGAGAAACACCTACCAGTGACTGGGAAAATGTCCACGTTCCCACCAACATTCTTAACATTAATCTGAATTGGTATGTGAGCCCCTGATTGATTTGATTTGATTTGAACATTTGGTTGACTAGGAAACCTTAAGTTTTCTTATTCATAAGTATTTGAAATTAATGATCGCAATGTTTTCAATCGGCATTAATCATATAGCCCACAACACATGATATAAAAAGTGTCTAATGGACCTCCTCGGCTCTGGAGCGCTCGAGAGTAATGTTGTCCCATTTCATACCAACCTTGAGAATAATATTTTTTTGTTCGAGCTGTTTCCATATTCATGTGTCCTCTCATGTGCAACCGAGCGCAAGCCTTAAACACAGAAATGATACTCTAGGGAATGACACGTGGTCTGAATGGGACAGCATTACGTCAGAGCCTAGGAGGTCTATTGCGCGAGATCGATGTTATTATCCCCTTGCAGTATTTGTGCTACTCTAATATACATTTTTAGCTTGGGCGTAATGTTATGCCCATTTCAGACCACGTGTAATTCCCTTAAGTTTCATTTTTGTTTATTTGGATGCAAATGAAACAAAGAATCGTATTCCAAAAAGAATGACACTTAGTCTGACATGGGTAAATAAAAAAATTTAAAAAAAGCCCAAACTATAGAGGACTATTGGCATAAAAATGAGGTATTTAAATACATTGGTTAAAATTTGTTACTAAATAATATAATCAGTAGTAAACCATAGTTAGCTTTCTCTTCAATCTCTGATGATGTATTAATACGATATAAATCCTAAGGAAAACCCGTGCTAAGGCGGGACAAGTCTTTGTGTGACCAAATATAAAAGAATTCGCCCAAAATTCTGAAAAAACAAGGTAGTGTAATTTGATGGGTTATAGAAATGAAATCTAAGGTCGGGAGAGCCGTCAATAGAAAATATATTCCGTTTCCATGGCAACCCTCTATTTTGTGTTGCGTTTCGGAGAACACGCTCGACCAGTCAGAGACAGAGAGAGAGAGAGAGCCGGGCACATTTTATTACAAATTTTAAAAAAAATTAGAATTTCATGTTACCAACCTTCCTTGCATGGAGTCTCTGGTTTCCTTATTTGGAACCTACAGTAGACTGTAGAAATATCAATACTTTTGTTTGCTGTCCATATCCAAGCAGCTCCGTCTGCTATGTCAAAAACTGGTCCTCTTGGCATAGACAAGCTACCATTGTGGTGCGAATTGATGGAATGCATAGTAGCATGGTCCCAGGAACTATCATCAAAACCTGCCACATTCCATCCCTGTTCGGCAACAGCTGAACAGCGCCACGACGAGTTGGTAATTAGACCATTGCTGAATGATCCAAGAATGCCGCCATTTTTAGTAGCACCAATACGACAGCGTAGTCCTATGACGTTTGAATTTGGTGGTATGACGTATTTGGTGACTGTTCCATAGCCTTGGCTTTCCAGACCAATTTGCTGTCCATCCACGAAGACCCTTAATGTATTGTCACATGTGATATTTGCTGTGATGTTCTTCAGAGATGAACCTGCAAAAGAAGCATGCAAATCAGTGATCGTGAATGATATATTTAAATCTAAGCTTAGCTCTACAAAGGTTGCTGATAACCAATCATTGAGGAGAATAAGGCTATTGAGCTCGAACATAACTAGTGGGACTGTATTTGCCATAGTTTCTTTTCTTCAAGGCCAGTACCTAAATGAGACCAAGAGGCAACGGAGCTAGACAGTCTAGGGTATATACTACTGGTTATTTTGCACAGTCGTGCGAGAATGAAGTATGACCAGCGCGTTATCTTTTCTTTTTTGACAAGGATTGAGGATAGGGGTAGATCAAAAAAACGAAGAAGCCCAAAAGTACGTTGCGCTGTAATCTGCTTGAAGATATGTATCATATTTTCTTTCTTTTCTCTAGTTACTAAAATTAGCTTTTATCTGGAGAAAAATTTGACATCTCGTAACCATTAAAGGTTCGACCAAAGCACGTATTTTTGCACAAAGACCGGTGGTACTTTACGCAAACGCATTAGACCAACAGATAACTGACTGATCAAACCAAACAATCACAACAAAGTGGACGCTAAACGTAAACCTAAGTAAATAAATGTTAATTAATATGAGCGCGCCTACCGGAAAAACAAAAGCGAAAAAAAGAAATTTTCTTTGAAGTCTCAGAATATGACTTACGAAAGATTAAGTTTTGATAAAGAAAAAATAATAAAGACTAGTTTTTATTTCCAAGAGATTCTTTTTTAACAAAGAAAAAATAACAATGAGTTTGCAAAAGATGAATTTTCAGAATCCCTCTGGAAAACTAGGTAGCTTAAGCAGGGTGGCCTTTGAAATCTTTAACTTCCAAGAGATTATATTTCAACAAAGAAAATATAACAATGAGTTTGCAAAAGGTGTATTTTCAGAATCCCTGGAAAAACTAGGTAGCTTAAGCAGGGTGGCCTTTGAAATCTTTAACTTAAAGAAAATATAATGACTTCAAAAGGTGAATTTTCAGAATCACTCGAGAAAAGAAGGTCTAAGCAACATGACCTTGGGTGGACTGATAAAGGCGGGAATGAGAAGGTCTTACGAAGTTTATTCCAACTGGAAAAACTCTTCCTTAATGAGGAGGAATCCTTGAAAGACAATTGGATRACGGAAGATCATTTTCTAGAAATTAATATCTCAAGGAATCTAGTTGGAGAAATCAAAACAATAATAAGAGGATGCTGTAAAAATGAACCTCAGTAAATGCACCTAATTAATGAGAGAAGTAGCGTGGCAGTGTTGACGGAAATAATTGATATTTATTCCTTGATAAATTGGTAGCAATATATATCATTCATTAGAAGGAGAGGACATCACAAAAAAGAATAAATATTGTGACTCTACTTATTGTTCTTTTTGTCTTCTTCAGCAACAAAASTTTGGATAATTAGATCTAACTGGTGTCCCTCCATAGATCATAGGTTAAAATATATAGGGTTGTGCTCATGCATTGAATGATTTATGACTATTTTTTAAATTCTTTATGTATATCTGATTAATATTATTCTATATGTAATGCGCGCGCTGCTCATGCCGGTTTGAATATCATCTATCAATGCGCTTTTATATCACATACATCTCCTAAAAGATTCACACTAACAGAAACTAGCTGGGTGTCATGAAAAAGCCTAGTCCATTTATTCTGCTAGCTTCCATATTGCTATATAATTATCTCTTTTTCAATCGTTTTGTACAAAACCTCAATTTTCTTGTTGCTTTTGACAATGACGACAATTTATTATTTTGCACAATTCATACAGTACGATAATATGCAATAATATTTTTTCTTTTACTAAGGTGCGAGCTAACTGAAATTAACCTGTACGAGCCGTACTAAGCCAGACACTGTTGCTTTTTATCATCTTTCCATTTGCTTTTCCTAGCTTGAGTTTTCCTGTCTTCATTTGACTTAACGACCCTTAACAGTGTTTGTACTGTTACATCGGTATGACAAACTTAATGACAAGAAACCTAGCTAAGAGAAGTACAGATGGAAACAGCTAAATTACTTTTGTTAGAGACGTAGGCTTGGCAGAATAGGATATAATAGAAGTGTGTGGATTTAGGAACTCATGGTTTAAAAAAAGAGTACAATAAATGCATACATACAATTAATAAAAACAAAAGATCATTTCTTGCGTACTTGTAAAAGTTAGTTATGCTTTTTATCACTACATAAAATAATTTTTGAGATTTGTTTCGACTGAAAACTCATTTCATTTAAAAAAATAMGATTTCATTTGATTCCTTTTGTATTCGATATTCATTACAACTAGTATTTCTCTCCTCAACATCTAAGAAGTTCGTTTATGACTTCGTATTCCAACTACTTGCATATTATGGGGTATTATGAGAGACTTATGGGCTGGGGTTTTTCTACCTACAATTCGCGTCGATCGAAGACGTCATTTTTTTTCAGTCATCCCTCCAATTCGACGCAGCTTCTATTACAAGAACGAAAAATTGTTCCAAAAGACTTACTTGGSTTCGCACAATAGTTAGCTTTCGAGACAAGACTCTGCATAAGTACACCACAGACCAAAAATCCCAAATTCCACAGCATTCTCAAGTTCAAATATTTAAACCTTGCTTCAAGTTATGACATAAGCTCTGATGGGAAAGCAAACTCAATGACTTGCCAGGGCGCCTCGTATCTTCGCTATAAATATCCCTCAATATAATGTATTCATGATAAATAGCTTTGCTTGCTCAGTAAGGGGTTCTTTACAGACAGTCTATTGAGAGTAGGACGTTAGATCAGTGTTTGAGATAGCGTCTCTTAAATCAAATCTTAAATCCTTATCTGTTCACTTCGGTTCTTTCCATTATCAATCATAACGAATCTTTTAGTCGAAACTTAATTGACATCTTATRTTTTAGTGCACTCGACTTTTAATTTTCTTTCAAAAATAAAATGAAATAAAAATAATGAACCAAAAAATAAGAGAAAAGTCTTCATCAACGTTTTTTTAAAAGTTTTTTTWAAAAAAAGTTCTGTTATTGGCCCAATTTCTTTTCAGTTTAAACTAGACTCATATATGAAATTTTAAGAGTTGATAATTGATAAATATTTAAACTTGTAAGTAAATAAACTATTATTGCAAATAGCCGTGTTGTTTCCTTAGTATAAGACTGATTAGTATTTTGCAATCAAATCCTAAATCATTATTAGTGTTTCTTAAATTTGCATTTCTCTCTCTCGTTCGTGATTTCTGCGAACTCGTTTTTTTTGTTTTTTGTTTTTTTTGTTTTTTGTTTTTTGTTTCATGACACATGTGTAAGAAACATAAAGGTTCTTTTTTTTTATTCAAGTTTTATCATAGTTTTATAACAGAGCAACGTATAGTATCGTAATAGATCCCTTGAACTAATTCCCAATCTGGATGACAAAACAAAAATAATTCTCTCCTCTTGAGGATTGAATTCTTTTTTGATGTATATATTTCTCATTATTTCGGACCCCCGGATAGGGATTGAGTGCAAGGGGTATATACAAGGAGAAAAAAAGGCGGGGGCTGCCGTACAGTAGACACCCTTAGATTACAACTAATTAGAGCGTGCACTAGGTAAAGAATACGGAGSAACGCCACTCATGCAACACAGTCATTCATTTGATGCACTCCATCAAGAAAACAACACGTTGGGAAATTTTTTGATTCATAACCATAGGTCTAAATCTCTTTCCTTCGTAATTATCATTGTAAATGCCAAAACGACGGATGTACACGGATATGAACGTCCAATCATTTTTTTACTGTCACCATACGCGAAATGGTTTGCCTGGACACTTCACAACATTTAAAATTGCATACATTTTCTTCAACGTTTCGCTCATTTTTTCCATTCCTTCCTTTTCGCGCTTTTTCCGTTCTCTTACTTTTCCATCATTCGCTGTGAAGTGCGTCTCTAGTCGCTCGAGATGTCAAGATTTTGATGTCAGAAAATAAGGATTTGATAAGACGGTGTTAATCGGCTTTCCCTCAATCGCAATATCCTCTTGCTTAATACTTCCATTTAAGATTTGATCGACTCCAAGGTAGTTGGAAAACCGATTTCCTTCTTTTCATTAAATCGAACTAATAGGTTATTTGCAGCCTTGACGTACCATATGGAGGGGATGGCGTSACATTATAAACCATGTTGAGGTGTACTGAATATAATCTGAAAAACTGACTCRAACGATATCATTATCGTAATTGAGAACTTGCTTACAGGAMCAATAGAGGTTTTGCACCATCACGTKCTCACGCCCATAATAACGCTTTGGCTGMCTGCGGTTGGATGGCAGAACAACGAAATTCCCTTTCTCTTGGGAATTGAATTCTTTCTTATGTAAAACGACTGCATTGTTCCTGCCATTTAACATGGTTGCCATCACGGGATGGTGCAAAACCTCTATACGCCAAACTCATAGTGCAACATGCGATTTGTTCTTCGTATATAACATTTCTTCATTTTGATTTATAAAATGTAAAGGCTTCAGACCCATCAGCTTTAGCTTCCGAGAGTCTTAATGTCCGGCAAAAATATATAAATAAATAAATAATAATAATAATAATAATAATAATAATAAGAAGAAGAAAATAGAAAGTTCTTTATTCTCAAGCAATACTTCAATTCCTTGCCTTTCTTGTTGATTTGCATTCAAAAATATCGCTCTAGATCTCGGAAAGGAAGTTTTTAGAAAACGCTCTTAGAGTTTATAAAAAGATAAGATAAGATCATTAACTCCATCGAAATCAGATTTTCTCGGATCTTTTGCTTTCATATATCGACTASCTGAAGGAAGCATATGAAGTCAAGAGGTTAAGAACAGGGACTATTATTATTAGTGCATGTTGGAACTCCGTATTGACGACTTTCAACTGATAAAGATTGAAGCTGTTTATAATGGATATTGAGTGTTCAAATGATGTCTTCAGAAAACAAGCCTTTCTTCCGTTCTCTCTCTCTCTCTCTCTCTCTCTCTCTCTCTCTCTCTCTCTCTCTCTCTCT